TCAAGTTAAGACCTGGCACGAGGGTATGAAAACCCTAACCAGGAAACTGGGACACATAGGTCCTGTTAGGCTCCCTGGCTGGGGACCTCGGGATGATCGTAACCGATGGTTAGAGACTGAGTGATAAGGCTGGGTGTCGTTCGTGCATCTTCTCAATTTCTTCGCAACCTTAGACCACTGAACTTCTCCACTTTCAACTTTCCTTTCTTCTCCTATTCTTCATCCAAATGGGCAGTCAAAAGATAGCAACCAAAACCGGTGTACGAATATGCGTGGTTAATGGTTGTACAAACTGAACTGAAAACTGAGTTGCCATTACAGTTTGTCTTCGTCGGTGGTAGCACCGTGCGATTCATAGGATGACTCATATTGATGTACTTGCTACCGTTGCACTGATAACCAGTTCTCGCCCTGGATGCGATATCCCCAGGTCGACTTTGAAACCGCTATCCCGGTCCAGTTTACCAGCATAACTGAAAAAGATCAATCCTCAGGCAGGGCAATGTTCGATAGTCCTGTAGGAAATTAGTTCCACTAATTCCCTTTTTTGTTCTTGTCACTAAATTTTTCGGAAGTTAATGAAATCACAGATGAACCGGTCCGTGTCCGATACCCTTTTGTTTTTTTCTCGACAGACATCCAGAGTGCAAGAATATAGGATTGTTAACTCCCGGTCCGGTCTCGTCAATCGGGCCTACCAATTTGATGACAATGTGGCCGCCACCATAACCGGATTGGGACGACAACACTCCGGATTGTATATGTGCAAAGCCGGTCACATCTATCGTACCATCAAGGTCGAGGTCGTGGACTGCTCCCGTAAGTTGTAATTTTCCTCATTCGATCAATTCTCACATACGCACAGCTTATTAGCGTCTGGATTTCGTCCCTCAACATTTTGGGTATTGTGCATAGTTCGGTTGAAAACGGCCACCATGTCCGTTCACATTACTGTATATCTCACCTGGCGAACGCATCAGAGATGAAATTTCCGCGCGTATGCAGAAGGCTTGGTTGTCATTTGCCAACTTGAGACATCTGTGGCGCCGTCACGACATCCGGCTACCTGTGAAGGGCCGAGTATGCTCTGCAGCAGCTCAACCAATTCTGCTTTACGGTGCGGAGACTTGGCCATTACGGAACAGGATAAAAATGGATTATCGGCGTTTGAACACTGCTGTCTACGTAGCATTTCACGCGTGTGGTGGTGAAATCGGACGAGTAATGCTGAGTTTTAGGTAATCGCGGTCGTCCACTGGTGCAGGTAGTCGACCTCTATGGATTACAGTGATTGGGACATGTGCTACGCATGTCACCAAGTAGGTTTCCACGGCGAGCAATGCTTGCTGAAGCAGGTAGCGGTTGGAAAAAGGTCAAGGACGGTCAAACGAAGACTTGACATGAGGGTATGAAAACCCTAACCAAGAGACTGGCTCACATAGGTCCCGTTAGGCTCCCGGGCTGGGGACCCCGAGATGATGGTCACCGATGGTTAGAGACTCTGAGTGATATGGCTGGTTGTCGCAAACAGTGGTGCTCATGCATTTACTCATTATTCGTGTAACTTCAGTCTCTATATATGGACTATCTTCTGCTTGAGTCTGCTGTCAGTCTTCTAATCTTCATTCTGCTTTTTTATCCAAATGGGCAACCAAAACCGGCACATGAAAGTGCGTGGTCAGTGATTGTAAGAACTGAACTGAATTGAACTCTAACGTAGTGTGGGAATTCACTGGGTTTATCGTATTTTACTGGTAAACTAAGTTAGGTGTGCATTTCGTTTCTCCTTTTTTGTGAATGATGGCGTGCGTGTGACCCTTTTTAGTTCTTTACCATTGCAGCTGAATGTTGAGCTTTCATATAATTAGTACCGGTAGGAACACGCTGATAAAACTCTTCTGATACCGTGGTATCTGCCGATAGCGATAATCAAACATCATGGGTCACTACAATTCCTGTGTTCCAATCGTACTTTCATCATCCATTTTTTCCCTTCAATTGTTCTACATGCTCTCTGTTGATATCTTTTCAATCACAGCTTCTCTGCTGAAGGCCGAATGTATCATCGTGTATGCAGTAGTTGAAAAAGGTCAGGTATTATTTTTATTTTATTGCTAGTATCAATGAATTTCGGGTGGGTGTACTGCCTGGTCGTAACGATTCACACGTTATGGTCATGCGTTTTGTTGCTCGATAACCTGTGTGCTCCGACGCGGAAGTCCATGACCGTCAGTGTGAAGCATGAGTACTCGTTCTTTGTTCTCCCTGTCTTGACGTCTTATTCCCCTGTCTCATATGGAAAACCTGGTCGCGCACTGGCTTAGTTTGAGCAACCACCACCGGATCTGCATATTCTCTCCATGGCTATTGTATACCACGGACCCCACACCGCAGTCAGACATGTGTTGGGAGATGTCCAATAGTGGCTGAGTGCCAGGACTCTTGTGAGTGGTAGGGATCGAGTACAATTGCACTGTCTGACTGACTGGCTGGCTGTCTGGAACGCGTTCATTGGTGCTGATCTGCCTCCATACGTCTCTGTGTACATGTCTGCCTGGCTGGTCACGTGTGATGCGTGGGTGTGTGCATTTGAATACGTCGATGGGTTCGTATAAAAATTTGCCCGTGGTCCCCATTCAGTGGGGTTGGGGGCTTTCTCAAGATTGATGAATCGGTACCATGCGGCCGATCAAGTTTGTGTGTGAACAAGCTGGGACGTGAGCTGCATGCAAACACACACAAGCGCGCATGCATGTGCAAATGCATACAAGTTGTGGGGGGTTCCCCGTTGCGTGGACACGGAATCCGCATTGCACGTAGTCGTGAGAACCCGGCCCAATGAACCGACTTGCCTTGAATGCGCGATCGACGTACTGTAAGAAGGACAGGTTTGAGCACGAGTGAATGGTCGTCGTGACTGAGGGGCTAAAAATGGGTGGGGAGGGGAGGATTGGGATTCGTAGCGTCCAACCCGCATGTTTGTGTAGTGTCACTTGACTGACTGTGGGTCAGTTTATCGATCCACTTATCACCCTTGTGTTCTTGCCTGTGTGCATCCGATTGGTAATGTGCATACAGGTACGTGGTTGCTCAAATCCGGTTTGAACTTGCATTTATTGACAGTGCGACGACACTCGGGGGCATCATGAGCACTATTGACCGACAAGAACCGTGCATATTTTGTATGTGCACGATGTTGAATGTTGAGTCAATCGGCACTAAGGAGGGGTGTTAGCTTAATATATCTCAGTCGACAGTGACAGATAGAATCGTGGATCCCGTGCTCTCCGCCCATCACTATTAATAATGGGCGCAGTATTGAATTTGAGCAGAGTAGGTGCTGGATCTGTATCGTAAATATTGCTATCAAGAAACCCATCTTTGTAATTCCCGATTGGTTCAAATCAACAACACAAAGATTTCCAGCCCGTAGAATCAAATATGCGGGCGAATCATTGCTTAGTTTCCAGGTCAGAAGATCGTATCGGGGTTTTCTATCTGCGAAATAGGCACTTCATCAAATGCACTCATCTATTTGTTTCAAATGTGTTTGTTGGTGACCTTGTGTATGTGAAGACCGATAAATAACGCTCCTTTCTCCTTGTTGGGACTCATCAGCAACGCATACTATTTTTGCCTCCCAGCCGGAACTCAAAACGCCAGCCGTCAGGTTGGGAATCAGAACCCCAAACTCCGAGCTGCACAGTGACAGACAACACCTCAAGTACATAACCAAATATGCCCATGAGATACCCATATATACCCATGATAGATCGCCGAAATCATGGTATATATGCTTCACATTTATTGTGGGCAACTCCTGGATGTAGCCTGCTCGGTTTGTTGGGATTAGCACAATTTAGTCATTCCCATCCTCATCCACATTAGATGGGTTCATCCAGCAGGAATTAGTCGACTGCTTATCAGGGGAAGATTTTCCCGTTTGGATCGTTCGCTCTGACCGAAAACAGTGGATCGTATTCAGCACTCAGCCGGTTATTTACTTTTTTTCTGAAACCAAACACTGCACGTAAGGAGAGGTGTTATTCAGAGCAATTAATTGCCCGTGCAGTTGTTTGTGCGATCTCGTCGATCATACTTTGTGGGCGAAATGTGCACTTATGCGCGATTGAACTGTGTGTAGAGATACTCGACTAGTTTGTGGTCATTTTTCCACATGTTATCCCACCTCCCGTGAAGCATGATGCCTTATCATCCCGAGGGAAGCGGGAGGGGGTTTCTCTCCATTAACAACGACCTGACGGACGTACTTGAATTTTTGCACTCGGTTCTTTTCTGCTTCGCAAGTATACTTCCATTCAAGTTTTCGCCCCGGTCATGTAGTTTCATTTTAGCACCGGATAGAGGACGGGTACACGGGTTCAAGGAAAATCGGGACAGGCTGATAAATAATAATGCTAATTAAAGTTTTGTAATTTCTACCCGTCAACATTCGCGACTTTGAATCAAGGTATTACTTCCCCCGGAAACTAGCCCCAAGGAAATATGCGTCATGGTTTCTATGCTGTTCTATTTCGTCTGTTCGCCGAGCTTGGCAATTTGTTTGCAAACGTTTCATCACCAGCCGAGGTGACATCATCAGTGCTTGAGTAGTGCGGTCCTCAATCAGCGGGCACATTGAACTGGATCACGTGTACACACCAATGCAACTCAAAGATCAAATGACGCAACAAAAAAAGGTCATAATGTGACCTGAGAACGGACGGAAACCACAATCAGGATGGATGGACAATCACCCGCACCCCCCACCCCACCCTACCAACCTCACCCCCACGCACCAGTTTAACGGAGAACCCAGTCCAACACAATGAGAACAAGGGACAACAATGGTCGATGGAGAAGAACACAGATATAAACGAACGGACACAAACAGAAGACTGCCACTTCACAAGCACTGATGATGTCACCTCGGCTGGTGATGAAACGTTTGCAAACAAATTGCCAAGCTCGGCGAACAGGCGAAATGGAATTCAGTTCACCCGAGCTACGAGAACCAATTTTCAATACTCTGTCATCAGTTTCTGTGCTGTGTTTGATCGTTCGAAGGTTACGTTGAGAAGGTATCTTTCCCGGAAATGCTACCATATTATCGACCATACTGGAATAAACAAAATAAAGAGACTGTTAGTTCATTTGACTGGATCTTTTGCAAGCTTAAACTGATCGGCGATGTATGATAAGCTTCCGGAGAGTGGGGAAGAGATTCGAGAGTTTTCGTACAAGCGATTACACCCTGGCATGTCTCAGCTATTTTTTATAGATGGGCCTGACTCCGATAAGTCAACTTGATTGTGTTTTCCATTAGTTTTGATACTACTATTTCTTACCTTTCCCCAATCCACCAGTAATTTTCAAGACCAAGAGCAGTTATCACCTTGATTCTTTAGCCCCAATTTTGGGAAGGTAAGACTTAGTTGTTGGATGAGGCCCGGGGAACCTTAATCTGTTTTTATTTTCTTGATAAATATACCAAACTCAAAGGAAGAAGTTTCGGTTTTCGTTCACTACGGTCCTTTTCGGATCCTTATTAACGTCGCAGAACTAGTTGATCCTTGATTTCAACATAAAATCTCAACGGACACTTTAACCAACATCGATTGTCGTTCAGTCGTACCTGAAACCTGAAAGATACTTACTTCAAATTTGTCATGCAAACGATTGTGTAGTGCTTCCTTTTATTACCTAATATTGTATAATGAACAGCAGAAAGGATGATATTCAGTCCAGGGGACCCGTAACATGAGTCTGGGACCTCACACCAGCAAACCATCAAGACAGATTCGTTGTCGAGTTAGGCAATTGCAAAATGGCCTGTGTAACACAAAGTATGGTGGCGGCAACCGCAGTTGGACTTCTGACCGTCTCCACTGGAGCATGACCGTAGCAACGATTAACCGTTCGGAACTTAACATCTATGTGATGGTAGTGTCACTCCCCTCCCTTTCAAAAAAGTACTATACAGATAAGGAAAGAACCAGTTGTTAGGAGGTCTTGAAATACGTTCGACTACCGATTTAAACCATTTACGATCATGCTTTTACGATATGTAATTCTTTTTGCCATCCTTCGTCACATGTCCTACAGGTAGTGTTCATGATGAATTCGTGAGACAAAAAAATGAAAACAGGAATCCACTCACTACACGTAGTCCGTGTTGCTCAGTCCAAGAATGTGCACCAGCATTATTTTATCGGTGTGACAGTCCACTACTGTAGTAGGACGTCAGATAGCAAGGTGCAATGTCCCCGATTGTATGATTCCAGGTCGGCAGTTTGCCAATGTCCAACTGGCAAACAAGGTTTTAGATCGTGAATCATGTGCACATTGCCACCCATCCCCCTATTCCCACAAGGACGAACACGAACGAGGGAGAGACTAGGTCGCGCGCTTTCGCATTTTGTTACTTTTCGTTTGGTGCATTGTGGGCACATCAGTACACTTTGTCGAACCCTTTTGTCTTCTCACCCAGCCCGTCTCCTCTCCCAGTCAATTTATGACTAACTGTTGTGACTGCCCTTACCATCTGCACACACACATCCACTTCGTTTGACCCCATTCGTTCAAATAACTTTAATGCATAGGTGTGTCACTGTCCGTTTTGCGTGCATGTGTGTGCGTGTGCGTGTGTATGCATAGTCATCTAAAGTTTAGTTCAGATAAGTCGGTCGGGAGGTGGGTGGGGTGGTTGAGCCGTGGGATGTTATAGTTTTACCGCAACGCGTCGACCTCTTCAAGAGTTAGATTCACATGATCATGCCTTTATAATTATTGTCTCGTCCTGGTCCGTTGTTCCCTTACTGTGACGCTGACGCTAGCGGTTATCACTATAGTTTCCTCTGACGATCGATTCGTTCATCGGTAGGCAGACTGATAGATTGATCCAACGCCCTACTGTACCCTTGAACTGTTTGCAACTATCCGTTCTATCCCCAAAGGTAATCAGTGTGTGTACCTGCGAGCCTTTACAAACCGCTTAGGAAGCACTTGGAGAGCTCAACGGAGGGCTCAGCTGTAGAAATACAAGCGCTCCTAACTGGATGTATGCACGGTTTGATGGAGTACTCTAGGCGTAAACTCTTCGGTAGTCCTTCCGTTTTGTCCCCGTCTGGAAGATGCATAAAACGGAGCACCAGTCCTGTTTGCAGGGTACCATTTACTGATGAGTGAATAAATTAACATGATTTGGATGATTTATGGGACAGGCTCTGGCGTAATGTTGTTCATCTATCCGACGGGAATGAAAATTACGCCATCGCAGTCCTCAGCATGCAAGAATGAATCTTTTTTAACTCTGGCTCGCAGGTTTGTCTCGTCGTTATCCATGTTGTTTCATCCTCTCATTCTGTAACCTACAACATGCTCGTAAGGAAACCAATGATTTACCCACACCACCCGTTGACTTTCTATATTCCCATTTGGTTCTAACGTAGGCTAACCAATACGTTATCATTCTCTGATAAGAAACACCCGTGGTTTAAGGCCTCAGGAATATCAATCAAGATGATGATGGAAATGGATCGATGGATATCCGTATACAAGATAATAATGTGTATCCCTCCACTACGTTTTGTTTCACTAAACGGTATTGTGTGATGAAAAGTAGAAGGGATAAACCATGTCTTACGATGACCGACTACTATTCACTCATGATAACCAGAAATCTAGGTCCATAAACTTGAAGTAGTGAATCATACGAGACACGTATAGGATAAGCGCTGTTGTGAGCCAAACGAAACCAGGACCTAAGGACTCGGGTGATTCCAGTGACAGCTAGTCAGACCACTTAAGCGTCACACAGGCTGTCGGTGCAAGAAAAGTGAACTTGTTATATGATCTCACCCGATCACCAGTTTGTCCACTCAACTTCAGTTCAGCTTGCATTTTTCAACCGTTTTCCCAGAAAAAGCACCATGTAAAAATAGATATTCGTAAAGTAAAATAAACACCGTTTTGTTTCTCGGACGCATTGTGTCTATGCTAAGTTTCACAAATCAGCGACAAAATAACGCTTGTCAATACATGGCCAATTTTAGCGGAACGGATGGTATGGAGTGTGATCGGTGATTTGATGATAGATCAGTCTGAGATGTCTGCGCTGTGCTTTCCAACAATCAGACCTAATGNCCCCCCCCCCCCCCGCACTTGAGTGTTTTTCGCAAGGGCGGACTAGTTGCACGCGGACGAACAAGTCTGTCGATGATTAGGTACCGTTATAGACGAAATTTTGGCTTACTTCAATAATGGACTGATTTTAAGAACTAGAACGGTTCATGCTGTGTGACATGTTCAGTTTAGGAGACTATTCTTTCTTTCGGTGTGTGTGTGGCCGTGTGAAAATAAAACTGGTCAAATACTGTGTAGATATCGGATATCATGCTAAAGCATGAGCTGAACTTTCAACCTTTATACGTTTCAGGCCCAATAATTAACGAGGTGATA